AGAAAGAAAGAAAGAAAGAAAGAAAGAAAGAAAGAAAGAAAGAAAAACAACAAAACTTTATTACATGTTTTTATTTTAGGGGAATGTGGTACACATGCCATAGCCGAGCCGTACATGTGGAGATTAGAAAGGATTTAAGGAGTTGATTCTTTCCATCATGTGGGTTCCAGGTACTGAACTCACACCATCAGGTTTGGCTGCACGTACCTTCACTCTCTGAGGCATCTTGCTGACCTTCAAGTATCTTACCTTTATAAACAGATCAGTAAATTTTCAACACATTCTTCACTTCACAGAATTTACAAGTTCAGTACAGCCTAAATAACGTTTATATTCACAAAACTGGATTTATACACTTTAGAGATATAATAATGACATCATTTCATCTACAGGACAACCCCCCCCTCCGCATTACCTCCCCCCCCACTCAAACTCCCTGCAAAGGAAGCAACTGGGCCTAATTTAAGCAAGGCAGTGGGACATATGAATAGAACCTGTTGGTAGCCGTGGAGCCTGGTCTCACTCAGATCAGCATGTGACTACCTATCCAGCGGGTTTCCTCAGAGCAAGGCACCTGTGGAAATGGACTCTCACTTGGCAAGGACCGGTAGCCCACAGGACAGCGTAGGAATTTGCAAAATTCATGCAGCTCACAGGCTCTTTTCTCTCTCATTATATTGTTGATTTATATAGGTGGTTTTTAGTTTTACTTTGTCAGTCACACATGCAACAGTTATAATTTTCCCTCAAAATTGTGCTCTTTCTCGAATACTTTCCCCTAAGTTTCAGCAAGGGGCTAATGCTTCTCAAATCTTTTATCTGGAATTACTAACTATAACTCCCAATCCTGGGAACTTTTCTGACTCAATAGAGACAATTAGATGCATATGAGAAAATAACACTTGGAACATTAACCATGTCTTCACTCTTCTGGAAAGGAGAGTAAGGCATACAGAGAATATGGGGAAAGTCACAGGAAAACACTTAGTGCCCACTGTTGAGAGTAAGTTTCCTGGACACCAAGCATATAGACAGAATCAATGTTAAGATCTAGTATCCAGTGGGGAAATGCAATATAAAATATAGGATGGATAGATAGATCCACCTTCACCCTACACAGGAGCTTATATTGGTGGAAGAGGTACAGTATAGTGGGATGGGAAAAGAGTGCTTTGTCAAAGTCTGCCTTCTACAGAGAGACTGAGACATGGGGCCCTCTTGTAGAAAAGGGAACTGTATGAAAGCATATGTTACAGACATGAAAGAATTGTCTGGGTTTGAATATTGTTGTCCTTAAAGCATTGTACCCACGTCCATCACTTTTTAACTTTGTAACCACAAGTGCTGCCAGCTGACATGAGTGATGCAGAGCAGGATGTGTCTGGCTCATATTTAGTTAAGCCTGCAAAAAATGCTGACCTCTGTGTCTAGAATAAGGTGATGTAGGAGGTGGGAAAGTGTATTTGGGGAAGCATAAAGGGGAACAATGGAGGCTTTCATGATGATTATGATGTATTCCTTAAAATATGATGTATTTCTTAAAAGTCAAAAATAAAAGGTGATGGCGTACACCTTTAATCCCAGCACTCAGGAGGCAGAAGCAGGTAGATCTCTGAGTTCGAGGTCAGCCTGGTCTACAGAATGAGTTCCAGGAAAGGCTCCAAAGCTACACAGAGAAACCCTGTCTCGAAAAACCAAAAAAATAAAAAAATAAAATAAAAAGTCAAAAATAGGAGCCCATAATAACGCTGTTCCTCTAACTCTGGTAAGAAGAACTCTGTTTAAGTAGAAATAAAGACAGCTTGAGCTATTTGGAGCCACTTGAGTGCAGCTCACCTGGTAGTCAGAGTTTTTCCTTACACCATCGCCCCTTCCCTGTCTCAGGACCTGAACCCACGCCAAGACTGGACTCTGGCAATAACTCAACCTGAATTCCTCCTTGTCTACACTGGGGTGAACAGCACAGGCCTTAGATAGATGAATACAATTCATATTCTGCTGTTACTGTGTGCAGTGAACAAATTTCTTATGCCCTTTTGTTTTTTCATCTTTCCAAAGTTATAAGAATTTAGAGCCGGGCGGTGGTGGCGCACGCCTTTAATCCCAGCACTCGGGAGGCAGAGCCAGGCGGATCTCTGTGAGTTCG